AGCACAAGCTCAAAACCCTCAACCCTGCACCCTGAGCTGGCACCCTACGAACCCCAAGTGGGGGTTTCCGAAAATAGGTGTACCCTTCTTGGGGGTTTCCTATAAAAAGGATTTTTGTATTTTGTGGGTATATTATGGGCACCCCTATTTTGGGAAATGCCCAAGCCCCCAAAGTCTCAGGAAGGAGGTCTGTCCAGCGGCCGCGTGGTTTGTCGCCTGCCCGCCTGTGCTGCCGCTGGCGCAGCTTCACACCTGGGCGTCCGAGGCCTCTGCTAGGGTGACAACTTCATTGGCATTCCGAAGCCTTATAAGCCATAAACCCTGGGTTTAAGGCTTTAGATTTTTAGATTGTTTCTTGTTTGTTCATGCGTTTTTAAGGCTTTAGATTTTTAGATTGTTTCTTGTTCGTTCATGCGTTTATGTTTCATTTTGAAACTTGATATGCTGGTTGAGCGCGAGTCGTTAGGTTGCTGGACACTCTCGGCTTATGTTTTCTGCCAGTGTGCGCTGTCGCACAGGTCAAGATTCAACTTCGGTGTTCCTTAGTTAGTCCCATGCAAGGTTTGAAGACTCTTCAAAGACGCAATCCGAAGTGGCTAGCATCGAGGCAACCCTAAACACTAAACCCTAAACCCTACAACCCTAAACCCAATAAACTGTCAGGCGCCGGACTTCCCTGGCGCCGAGCTTCTGCGGAGCCTAGGCCGGGGACCTACAGGGTTGCCTCCTCACATCGTGGGTAAAGCGATGTGCTTGCCTGGGGCTTATGCTGGCTCGACTTGGATTTCAAGTCAAGAAGACTCTGCACGTGATGAAGATAAAAAGTGCTCCCAAGTTTGGGTGCATCTTCATTGCCTACAGTCTCGCTGCAACTCAACAATGCGATGTTTTCATAAAATGACCTCCAGCGCTTCGCTTTGCCAGCCCGAGGTGCCTCGAAGGAGCGCCTTGGCTTTGTTCAGCTTCGTTGGATGCTTACGTAGGGTTTGGGGTTTGGGGTTTAGGGTTTTTCCTAGCAACGGCCCCTTGACCCCAACCTTGGGTCCCCTCAAGCCCCTAAACTGTGGGGCTTGGGAATTGGGGACCTCGAATCGTGCTCCGCAGATTGGGCGTGTGCACCTTACGATGTCCCAGCCTTACTTCTCTACGAGCCCGCGAATTGGACTTAGCCTCAGTTCTGGGTACCACTAGGTCCTGGTAGCCCCAGAGAGGTTGGGCTCCTGTGTGCAAGTTTGCTGGAATGGTCCTGGCCGCTGCTTTGCACATCCTCGCCTGTTGGTAAAGGCCTGAAGCTATCGAACCCCTAGGCGCTTAAATCTCAAACTCCAAGTCTTTTCCCCCCCCCCCCCCCCGATGGTGTCCTGCCCCATGTCTGCTAGCAGCACGAAAGGTGTCTACAATCAAGCCTCGGCAGCCCACAACAGCAATTACCACGCACTCCATCGCTCTTCGAGCAACCCTAAACCCTAAACCCGAAGCCCTATAAACCCTATAAAGCCTATGAACCCTACAAAACCAATAAACCCTATAAGCCCTACAAAAACCCTACACACCCTATAAACACACAAACCCTACAGACCTTCAACTCTAAACCCCCACTTTGCCTGGAGGGCCCCGGCCGCTCCTGGAGCCACCGTGGTTGTGCTCTGCGCCTCCACCGACCGGCTCTTTTCTCTGAAGGCGCTTTTCTTGGTAGCCCAGTGGTACCCTTTTTCTTTTTTTTTTGGTTCAAGGTTCCCTTATAGATTAACCAACCAAAGAAGGGTGCCCTTATTATGATATGGTTACTGGGGTACCAAGTTCCACAAAGGGTTTCGGATGTATCGGGCTGAGGAGGATGGGGTTTGCAGATCTTGTCAAGGGTTCAGAGGCTTTACATAGGGTTCTTCAAGGCTTTGGTTTAATCTAGTTTAAGGGTTGTCGGAGTGCGCAGGGCTTTAGGGGTTTCGGGCTCTAAGGGTTTCGATTGGGGAGGAGGGTGTTTAACTTCAGGGTTTCGGGGGTTACAGGATCCAGCCTGTGGCTCGCAGGGGGGGGGGGGGGGGGGGAGTGCGAAACTATAGGTGACCTCTGAGGAGGCCGTGCTTCGGGAGACCCCTTAAAGCTCTACACCCAAAGCTGCATTCAGCCGAAAGAAGCCAAAATGCACCCTCATCACCCTAACTACGCACTGCCTGGCCCTTCACGCCCTAACGCCCGAACCCCCTAAGCCCATGTCAAGCCACGCCTCACCCCCGCCTGACGCGTAGTCTTTGGTCAGGCAGAGTTGGACAGCGTATGGGGCATCAAGGCGCCAGAGGTTTGAGGAGGAAGATTTTGGGCACAAAGAGGATTTCGGGCTTTACAGCCTTGATGGTTTAGGAGGTTCGTTTTGGGTTATCCCAGTTTCAGCCCTCAGGGGTCTTTTGGGGGATGATCGCGTGATTCAGCTTTAGGGTACCTGGTTTAGGGTGATTATCAAACCTCGTCTGTGACTAGACTCAACCGGATTGCAGAGGAAGAGGCCCTTGCAAGTCTGAAGGCCCTGGCCCTGGCTGCGCATGGTGGCGGCCGCAAGCGTGACCAGATCCTCCGCCAGGCGAGGGTTCAGGGATTCGGGCTTGGAGAATGAAGGTTTACAGGTCAAAGCCTTTGCGGGTTCAGAGACGCATGGAAGGTGTTGGGGATTTCCGGCTGCATGCTTGCGGAAGTTTCAGTTCAGGCTTTGTCAGGTTTGTGTCTGGCTGTGGCCTGGATTGTTGTTTCTGTTTCAGGCTCCAAACCCAGAGACAGGGGGGTTTGGAAATGCCACCTTCCTCAGAAGCACATCAATCCAACGGCCCTCAGACCCCTACAGCATTGGCATACCCCCTCAAGCCTTCCGACATCCCCTGACTGCAGGGCGATTGACTCCCCTCGTCAAGAGTTCATGCGGCCAGGGTTTTTAGGCCTTGGGATTTTTGAGGGTTTCTGGCCGAAGGGCTTTCAGATCTTGTAGGGGTTCAGGGCTTTCAGGGCACTACCCTAAACCCTAAACCCTAAACCCTAAACCCTAAACCCTAAACCCTAAACCCTAAACCCTAAACCCTAAACCCTATAGGGTTTATAAACCCTAAACCCAATTTCTTCGGGAATTTTAAAGACCAGGCCAAGGCCTTGGCCGCTGGTCCTCCTGTGGCCCTGGCCACGCCCAGCCGCCTGAGGCGCCTTGTTGAGGCCCTGACGGGTGGGCCCTTGAGGGGTTTTTAGGGGTTTTTAGGGGCGTTTTGGGGCTTATCGGGGTGTTTTGGCTTAGGGTTTAGGGATATTTGCGTTTAGGGTTTAGGGTTTAGGGGTATTTTGGTTTAGGGTTTGGGGGTGAGGCTGTTTGATTAGCTCTCGGACTTGGATTTAGCTTCGGGCTTGGGATCGAAGCCGGTCGGCTTGCTTTTTGTTGCGGGCAATCCAGTGGCGAGCTCGTGTTTGGTCTGTATGCTTCTCAGGCACTGGAGAATACTAGCGTGCCTGCGCATCCCTGAAGGTGTGAGTCTGGCTATGTTTTCTTCGATGTGTTTCATGAAAACAAATATGCCTAGGTTGAATTGAAAGCATATGTGATCGTGTTTCGGGTGCGACAAGGGTTTTTTGATTGGATGGCTTGCAGCTGTGCTAGATCCAGGGGTTAAGGTTTGTTTACAGCGAAGTGTTTTGCTGCAACCTCCGACTCATTCGGCGAATTCAACGCACACCACGGGACATGCAATCACAGGAGGTTGCCGGCTTTTGGTGAAGATGTTGACAAGGCTGCGGATGCTCCAAATTCCCGCGGCGCTCCTCAAGCGAACATGCGTTGAACCCTGCGCAAGGAAGGGCACCTGGATGTCGAGTCCATGTCGCTGCTTATCATCGATCTAGCCCATGACAAGAAGCTGAGGGATGTACTGACCTTGCAGGAGATGTGGGCATGATGTGGGTGCAGACGATTCGGGGCTCGGTCTTTGACGAGTTAGGCCGTGACCCCTCCACACTGAAGCTGAAGCCGATAGTAGTTCCTGCTGTCATTCGTGGCTTCATTTTGCAGCTCGCTCTTGTGGCAACACTCATGCAGCGACCAGTCGCAGCCCCTTTCAGGGCTTTTTCGCCTCGGGGGTGTCCGTGGAACTGGGGCCAAAACCAGCAGGACACTCGCGGGGAGTTCTTCGCGCTCCTCCGTGCCAAGCTGCATCCGCTGCTGCCGCTGAAGGCGGCGCAGGGTCGCAGCCTCTACTGTTGGTTGGGAAGCAGCACTTACTCATATACATATATGTTTGTATTATATGTTTTTGTGTGTATATATATATATACATATGTAGAAGAAACTTAGGTATGATACTTACAGCTTAATCGTACGCAAAGTCACAGCTAACTCGCTAATTTCCCGGAACCCCCTGAAGTTGGTGCCCTTGAGCTGCCGGCAGGTGGGTGATAAGACGCAGAGACTGGCCTTCCTGCTGTGCGGTCTTGAAAGCGGCGGCGCGTGAGAAACAATGAGCAAAGCAGGGCGCAGGGTTGAGAACTAGAGTGGAGCTGCAAGTGGGCCTTGGATTGAAGTCCCAATTCTGAGCTTAGGCACGCCAGCTTGAGAGATTTCAGACATGGTCAGAACTTGGGTTTTTGGCCTATATAGGGCTCAACATAGATTTTGGGCTTGAGGCTTAGGGGTCAAGGTTGAGGGTTTAGGTTGTTCTGAAAGTGCCTGCTTCCGGAAGCGAAAGCGGACAGCAGCACAGCGTCCTAATTCCAGACCGACCATTGCTGCTCTCTGTTGGTGACTTCTGTCATCATTCTGGTCTTCCGCTTGGAGTAGAGCTTCAGGTTTCGATTTGAAGCTTTGCAGCCGGTCTTTTGGCACCCGAAAGCCAAAGCCGCTAAGACTCTAAGCCCCGAGAATCATCCTACCGCGAATAGCGGTGATGAGAATGATGTCTTCTAGCAGTAGCAGTCGTAAGTTTGGTACAAGTAGCCTTAAAACGCTTGAAATGCCTTGGGCGCATCTTCGCAAGGCCCTCGAGACCGGGCGTGCCGATCGCTTGAGCCAAAGCAGCTCGGTTGCTTTTTGGTGTCGGGCTACTTCGGGCCTCCTAACTCCAAACACAGGCCTTACTTGCCGTACTTCTTCCGACACAGGCAAACTGTCATCAGGGCTTCGGGCTCAGGCACCCTGAAGAGATTGTTGGGGTTTGAAAGTTTCTGGCCCATGAGCTGAGAGTTCAAGATTTGTGAATGTAAGTTCTTGGGCCGAAGCACACGGAGTTTACAGGATTTCCGGTTAAGCCAGAGAATGAGGGGGATGCAGAAAGATTGGAGTGTGCAACTGCTTTGGGCAGTTTTGCTAATGTACGGCATTTGCTGCCTTTAGCCCTAAGCCACCACAAGAAGTTGCTCGGGGTTTAGAGTTTAAGGGCCTGGAGGTATAAGGGGCTATAATGGGGGGGGTATAACGAGGGGTTATATGGGGGCTAGAAGGGGCTTATAAGGGGGGTGATAGCGGGGGTGTAAGGGGAAAAAAGGGGGGGTTATAGGGGGGTAATTATAAGGGTGCGATATGGGAGGGGTGGTTTAAGGGAAGGACGACTTTCCGATGCGGCCAGGCACGCGCAGCTCGTAGAAGTCCTTGGACACGCTGAATCGACTGATTCCAAAGGTCGGTCCAGGCATCGAAAAGATGTGGGGATTTCCGAAAGCAAGGGTACCTTATTGGGGTCTTGATTTTAAGGGGAATCCTACTATTTGGGGGACTCCATTAAGGGTCCCTTATTCTCGCAAACCTCCATGAACATTTTTGGGTCTAGCGGGGGCTTAGTGTGCTGAGGCCGGTATTCCTAGTAATAGCAGTTTCAGCGCTTCCTCGCAAAAGGACAAACCCAGGTGACGAGGAAGCACCGCGATCCTTCGCAGTTCCGAAGCCTGGACTGGAAAGTACAGCTAAAGTAGGTTTCACGTGGAGTCAGCGCCAGAGTCCGGCTGCGACGAAAATACTTGATGTGTTAGGTTCAACCCCCGTGTGGGTATCGTGGATGTAATTAAAATTCTGTGGGCATATGACGTTTTTTCGTTAAATGGATTGATGTTGATAAATTCTTGAAATGCT